AGTTGTATAACCTTCATTTTGAAAAGGCATTTTTGTTTAAAAAGAAAAGTCAAACACAGAATATTTTCCACCTCCAGCACCCCTCCTTATTTGCAATACAAGCACCATGTGACTAAAAAGAAAGAATTGTTTGATTTGTATAATTGTTTCTCCTTTAAAAAAAAACCATAAGCACATCATGTAACTATTATAAGTTTAAAGAGTATTCTCATGATACACTCTAGCCTTTGTTATACAGCTATTTTACTTGGCAAATCTTCAGCCTTGGTCTGGTAAATTTCTAAATAATCCCTCTCTGCCCCAGTGTTTTGGAAAAATCTAAATTGGACAGGCACTGTATTTAGTGTAGTTTTGTTAAACAGATCCCATACCTATTTTCTTCCTTAATACAGAATAATAATATAATGCAGATGCAAGAATGACTCACAATTCAGAACACAAGAATAACACAGAAGGCCATTGCTTGAACTGTTGTGAGTAAACTTGGAAACAGGTGACGTAAAATCCATGTATAATGTGTATAATGTATATACATTGATTCAGAATAATATTTTGTAAAAGTTGTACTTCTTGTTCTTCATTTGTATCTACAATTCATATTATAATGCTAATATAATGTTGTTGCACACTGAAGACATAATGCTCCATCTACACGACTGGACTTAAGAGTACTCTCCAGTTGCCTTTTTCAGCTGCAAGCCTCAGTGCTACGTAGGGTCAAGTATGCAGAAATTACACCCATTTTTTCTTTCAATCCTCACATTTTCATTTCTGTGCAATGAAACCACTTCTGCGGGCTCTGAAATGGATCAGCAGCATACTCTAACAGATAATTTAGGTCCAACAATAGAGAAGGTAGTCAGACATAAATCACTGTTGTGTATACATTTCACAATTTCCAAATTTCCACTTCTGCTTATGCTGATTATCATGGATCATTAAACCCTTACTGCTAGCACTCATCGTTTGTTTTTTTTTTAATTACTTAAAACTGAAGTAATTTCATAATGATTAATTTTAATATTTGAAGGCTGAAAATCTCCTTCGTTTTATGACATTTAAACATTTCAGATATATGCATACTCCTATTGAGAGAAAAGGAATTTTCAGCTGTTTGATGAAAGGGTAGGGAGTATCCTCCTGAAGAATTAAAATAGATTAGAAGGGAAATACAGGTTGTGAAAATAACATGCTCTTAAAAAGTAGAAAGAGAAATTGGCAAGCTGACTTGATAAATACGTTTCTTCTGAAAGCTCTCAAAGTCAGTAGTCACAGCTACTTCAGTCTGCAGGACTCAAGCACCATTTTATGAATGGTACTATGGGCCAGTGCTTTGTCCGGAAAATGGCATGCAAATAACAAGCACGCTGTATCTAGATGCTTTCACATTTGCAATGCGGGAAGAGCTGCCTGGTAACTTTTACCCTTTGCTGGTGGTTGTGGTGCTACAGCCTTCTCTTTCAACGAGGCAGGGTCAGCAGCAGGGGGTTTACAGGCCAGTCTCCTGCCATCATCAAGGAAAGCAAATTGGAAACTACAAGAGGCCCTGGGACAAACTGCAGCATCTTTTTGTGCAGCATCCCCACATGAAGTGATGCAGACAGTGTGGTGTAATTGGGCTATAAATTAACATCCCTTTGCAATCAAAGCTGACATCAAAGCTGATTCAAGAGTCCAGGCAGATAATATGTTCTGCCTTCCCCATCCAGCCCGAGCCTTATGAGTGATCCACATGCCAGTCCCAACCTTGAGCCATCCTCCAAAACAACTCATGCTGTGCTATCTAATCCATGACTAACGGCCAGGTAGGAACCAGACCTTTCTCACCTTCTAATCTTCAGCAACGATGATGTGGTGGGATCTGTCAAACAAGCAGCGACCTCTAGGACTGGTGCTGCAGAAGCTCCCATGCTCAAGGCTTGCAGAACCTAGGTTATAAAAATATTCTCAGGATGAGATTAATGTGTTAGCACATGCAAGGAGACTTCACCTTCTATCCCGACCTTCAGAACATCTGTTGTGCTTGCTTTGAGCTAGCGGTCAGTAACAACAATCATATAAATGGTCAATGAATCTGAGCTTGAGAGTGACTGAAAGATGACTGGTAACTCTCTGCATAAACAATCACATTGATATGACAATAATATTTGGAATGAAATGTAAATTAATATATTACTTCACTTTGTCAGTTTTTGTGCAGCAGTATTAGTGAGCAAAATGCTCACTTCTAAAACACACAAGACCTATTTACTCCTGTAGTATAGCAGGCAAATGATAAAGCTTTGAGTTCATACAATCCAGAAAATTAGTGTTTTTCTGGTTTTTTAGATTTAACTTTGATTTATATTTAAGTTTTAAATAGAGGCATGTATTCCCTATAAAACAAGGCTGGTAGATATTTGGTGTTGGAGTTCCTCATAAGACTAACACAGTTTTTATAGGTTAGGTCCTGAAGGAAAAAATTAATCCTGGCATGAAGGAATGCACTACTTAAAGCTTTAGGTAGAGCTTTAATAGTCCATACAGCTCAGTGCAATCCATTAGTTTGAGTTAATTGTAACTTAGGTGATTAGTGACTCAGTAATAATGAAATGGGAAGAAGAAAGTATTTTTTTTATAGTTTCTTAGGGGAAAGGAAACTGAGTAAGGTGAAACTTAAAATATTGAAAACTTCAATTTCATTCCCAGATTGGACTTCAGTACAGCTTATTAATTGTACAGCCTCACGCAGTGCTTCCCAGCTCAGATTTGTACTGCAGCATCTTCCAGATTTGCCACCTCACTGGCAGTGAGTAAATAACTGAAAAAATACTTTGCTTTTTAGTGTTACACTCTTGCTGTTGCAGTAATATACGCCTAGATCATAGTGCCAGGAGCAATTCCTACCTTAGTTCTGCTTTCTTTGGCAGAGCAATAGCAGCTTTGTCTGGGGTTTTCACCACATCTAACTGCCGATTACAGATCAGCACTGGCTTCATATGCCGAGACACCAGGAACGTTCTGTTGAAATGAAATTGAGGAGAGAGGCATCAGCACAACCTGCCACAGTACAACACTAAACAATGAAGTTTCTTTCTGGATTTTAATTAGAAACACCATGGTTTCCACAGGGGGTTAACAAATGCTTTATTAGATCCCTGTAAAAACCTGGAAGTAAATAAAGACAGGGGAAAACAACCGTATGAAGGCTTCTGGAATTGGAACTGAGTGCTTATGCAAGTTAAACTTTGAGAAACGTCTTATTTACAGAACAAGTGCTACTTAGGGTCTGTAGAAGTCTACATAAGCCTGCTTTGGGGAAGGAAAAAGGAAGTTAAAATTCATTCTGAGTTAATCATTATGAGTGAGTCTGCTTTCCTGGTTTTGGTCAAACAGACAAGAGGATTTTACTCAGGTTTTTCTGTCTCTAGTCTCTCAAGATGCAAAGCAGCTACTCAGCTACAGAATGTGAGCTGTAATTGCCGTTCTGGATTTTGGGTCACCTCCCCTAGGTGGAACACTTCTGACTTGTCGGGTTCACCTACATGCTATATCCCCTTCATATGCTGGGTCATCCTGCAGATTTACTGCACCCTGTAAGTCCTACTTTCTAATCTAACCCTCACATGATCTTTGACTGATAGATCTTATTTGAAATAATCTAGCCCCTGTCTCCTGCTTGTTACAGCATCTTACTTTTAGTTACGTTCGTTGATTTGTATGCCCCAATAATGACAAAATAATTACACTGATTTTCGTATACAGCAGTTCACTTATTAGGGGAACCATCTCCGGTCTCGTTTTTGTTCCCTCCACTGTTAACAAAGCTATCTCAGAAACCAGGAGTTTATCAAGAGCCAACGCTTAAGGCTGAGGTAAAATCAAGACTCCTGCCATTTATCACTTGTTTCTTCATCGCTGGCTTCCTCCGCAGCTGCAGTGTTTTGTCACTTCACAGGAAGGGGTACAGTCGAGGCCCTCCAAGGACCCAGTGACCCCCACACCAGCTCCACTCGCTCTGACAGTACAGCGGGGAGTCGTTTTCGGCACCCGAAAAAC